TATGTGCACCTCATTTTCAGCCATATCTTCATCCTCCACTACTCTACTGTCAGCCCACTTGCATCACTATCATTTTAGCCATAGCATTATCTGAACTAGCGATCGAGCAAAGGTCAGAAGCAAATAGGATATAAGAGATGGACCAGTTCTGTTAGAAGTAAATGATTTGGTGTAACTGGAATCAAAGATTGATCAATGTATCCCAAGTTTTAATGGAAATAAATGGTTGATTTACCTCATCAGAGATAGATCAATATCCTAAGCATTCCATCCCCTCCCCTTCCCATTCAACTTTCACTTTTGAGTAGTGCCAAACAAATGCTTGAACCCCTTGTCTTGAAAGCCTCCAATAGCACTTAAACAATTAGAAACACAGAATGTATAACATAATATAGTGAGAATGCTCCAATATATAAAACCATGAATGACCAAAGTACTCTGTAAAATATTGAATGCCAGAACGCATTGGCACTCACTGTGAAAAAAGTAAGATCTTGAAAAAGTAATGGAGTAAATCGGGCATCAACGGATTCGGTTAACATGAGCGAACGGCTCCGGGTTAGACCTGGGATCCTGTTTTTTGACTTCAGGGGTTCCAAAAACATTCCAGAATCATAGTGTTTCACCTGCAGCAGATGCAACAGTGCAACCATCTGGCCTCTGCACAACAAATATGATTGTGAGTATACTAATCATTTACCACGCACAGCCACAGAAATCTTTTGATATTAATTTTGTGAGAAATAGAAGAAAGATAGTTAAACCTGAGCCATAAAAAGAACTCGAGAGGTATGTCCCCTAAGCTCTGCCATTTTAACCATTGATGGGTATTTCCAGAGCGTGAGCTGATTCTTAGTAAACCCATGAGAGCTAAGCAACTCGCGCTCACTCTTGTTCCCCAGCAATGCGCACACCTGAGACCCTGTATCAACTGAGTTCACACATGAACCGGTATGAGTATTCCAGAACTTAATGCATCGGTCTCCTCCACCTTCGCCTGAGGCCAAAAGGTTCCCCTGAAATGGACACCAGCCAAGGGCCTTATCTGCAGCTGTGTGTTCTTCGAACCTGTGAAGCCATTGTGTGGCTGAGGAGGTGGAGTTGGAAGAAGAAATAGCAGTCGATGATCTGCCCATATATAGAGAAGGTTATCGTTTCCGCCGCTTGCCAACTGCTGGCCCGAGGCAGACCATTTTAGGCCGCACACTTCTTGACTATGTCCTCTGTAGGTTTCCACAATATGTGATCTCACCCGGACGTCATTGTTGAAAATCAAACCATCCATCCCACCTGTTGTCAGTATATGATTGTTCCAATCGAGGGCTCCTACTCGTGATTGGTGGCCACCTCTCAAAGTTCGTAACTGTCAAGCAAACAAAAACTCAGTATTCATCCAATCATCGCAAGAAAAGAAACCAAGCCTGAATACAAAAGAGCTTGAGAATAAGCATACCAATTTGTTAGCCGTGGAATCCCAACGCTGGACATCAGAATTATTCAAGCCAATGGCAACATGCCTACTATCGGGAGCCCATATAACACTCGTAACCGGATCAAATTCATCATCAACTGTGACCAATTCAGAAGTGCTGCCCTCAGAAGCATCCCACAGGTAAACAGTACTGCCAAGAGCAATAGAGAGAACATTGATGCTTCCCCAATCTAGTAGATTCAAGTAGTAATCATCCAAAATATCTGGGGCATCTAAAGTCCCCTCAGATGTCTGCAAAAATGAATCATTCATTGTGAGAAAAAAAGAATCCTTTCTATCATTGACCCGCTAACCTCAAGAACAATCAAGCACTACTTGCCTACCTGAGGAATGTGGCGACGGGGTTTTGTAGGTTTGGCCTGGTAAGCGGAAGAGTTCTCATTCAGAAAACCATCCAAAGGGGGGGGGGGGGGG